GCGGATACAGTTTCCTTCACCTTCAGACGACACACACACACACACACACACACACACACACACACACACACGCACACAAACACACACACAACAGTGCTTAATTAAATCAATCAAGTTCTGTCACTGAAGGCCAGAAATCAACATCATCATCCTCACAGAGATCAACAGAGCAAAACACAATCATTCATGTTCAGATGAGCAGATTTACTGCAAATAAACATGAAATCATCTGAATAAAGCACGCTCATGATGGACAGACACATGCTGAACGAGAAGAGGAAACTATATAAACGGGGAAAGAGGGATCAAATATACAAATAAAGAAACAGAAAGAGAAAAGAATGCAATGAATTGATGATGGAAACAAGAGAGCGATTACAAAAAATGCAAAGAAATGGAGAAAAAATGCAGAAGAATAAATGGATGAATGAGTGACGGAATGATAAACGACAGAATGATCAAAGAAAACAAAAAAAGAAATATAAAAATGCAAGAAAAAAGGGAAAAATGGATCGATGGAGTGATAGCGGAAAGAAAGAATTAAAGAAATGAAAGAATAAAGGAAAAAGAAAGAAATCCAGGGAAATGGAAAAACATGCATGAAGAAAAAAAGGCAGAATTGGAATGAATGGATGATGGAATGACTGAAATGACAGAGGGATAGAAGAAAACGAAGAAAAGAAAGAGAAAAATAAAAATAAATGCTGGAAACAAAATGGATGGAGTAAATGATAAACAACACTGACAAAACAAAAGAAAGAGGGGGGAAAAGAAATAAATGATGGATGAATGAACAGAACAATAAACGAAAAGGAAAAATGCAAGAAAATTGAGACTAATGCATAAAGTAGGCAGAAATAAATGGATGGATGGAGTGACAAACGACAAAAAATGAAAAAAAAAATGGAAAAAGGAAATATAAAGAAAAGCAGAATAGACGGATGGAGGAGCGATAGAATGAAAATGACAGGGGAAAAGAGAAAAACCTGCAATAAAATAGAAAAGAGAAGAGAAAAAAACTGAAATAGATCAAGAGAGCAATAAAAAAAGAAGAGAAAAACACAAGAAACGTGGAAAAATGCATTAAGAAAAAAGACAAAACAATGAATGAATGAATGATAGAAATGACAGAAGGATAGAAGAAAATGAAGAAAGAGAAAAACAAAATGGTGAAAATGCAGAAAATAAATGGATGAAGTGATCGAACGATAAATAAAAGAAGGAAAAGAAAGTGAGGGAAAATGGATGCATGGATGAACAGAACAATAAACGAAAAAAATGCAAGAAAATGGAGATGAAAGGAGACGGGAATAAATTGATGGATGAAGTGATAAACGACAGGACGGAATGATAAATTAAAAAATGAACAGAGAGAAGAAAATGGAAAAAGGAAACAGAAAAGCAGAAAAAAGATAGCTGGTGGAGTGATAGAACGATAAACGACATGAAAGGAAAGAAAAACATGCAGGAAAATAGAAAAAAAGAAGAGAAAAAGACTGAAAGAGATGAACAGAGCAATAAAAGAAAAAGAAAAGTGAAACGCAAGAAATGGAGAAACAATACGTGAAGAAAAAAGGCCTAAAAGCAAAGGATGTAATGATGGAGGGAAAGAAAAGAAAAGAAAGAAAAGAGAAAATAATGACAAAATAAAAGAGAAAATAATGACCAAAACGCACAAAAATATAGAAAAGACGGATGATGGCATGATGAAAACAAATAAAACAAAGCAAAAAAAAGCACTAATAAAAAGCCTAAAAAAGCAAAGGATGGATGATGGAGTGATAAAGCACGGCGGGATGGATGGATGGATGGATGGAAGAATCTGCTGAACATAATAAACTGCAGCGGCTGCTGGTTAGTGGCCCACAGGACTGAGTTAGTGAGTGTGACCTCTCATTGCCATGACAACAGCTCTGACAGCCGCATCAGTGCCAGTGTAAACACACAAAAGATCATCCATCCCTCCAAACACGCACACACACACACACACACCATCTGCTGACCAGCCCCTAACACACACACTGACCATTTGCTGACCAGCCTCCATCACACACACACACACACACACACACACACACACACACACACACACACACACACACACACACACACACACACACACACACACACACACACACACACACACACACAAGACCACCATCTGAAACAAGAATCAAGAGTGTTGCTAAGTGGTTGCTATGTTGCTCTAGCAACTCAAGTTCTTTCTAATTTGCTAATTTGTGTCTGGGTCAATACTATGGTTACTAAGGTGGTCAGGATGGTTACTAGGATGTTGATAAATAGTTGCTATGATGCCCTGGTAACTTGATTCTAATGTGTGTCTGTGTCAAAACTATGGTTACTAGGGTGAACAGAATGGTTGCTGGGATGTTGCTAAAGAGTTTCTATGTGGCCCTGATAACCTGATTAGTTCTAATGTGTCTGTGTCAAAACTATGGTTACTAGGGTGGACAAGATGGTTGCTAGGGTGTTGCTAAGTAGTTGCTATGCTGGTCTAGTAATATGATTGATTCTAATGTGTGTCTGACAAAACTATGGTTACTAGGGTGGTCATGATGGTTGTTAGGGTGTTGCTATAGTTAAAAAAATATTTCTAAGATGTGTCTGGGTCAATACTACGTGGTTACTAGGGTGGACAGGATGGTTGCTAGGGTGTCGCTAGGAGGTTGCTATGCTGCTCTGGTAGCTTAATTGATTGGTAGGGTGTGTCTGGGTCAATACTAGGTGGTTACTAGGGTGGTAGCTAGAGTGTTGCTAAAGAGTTTCTATGTTGCCCTGGTAACTTGATTCTAATGTGTGTCTGTGTCAAAACTATGGTTACCAGGGTGGTCAGGGTGGTAGCTAGGGAGTTGCTATGTGGTTGCTATGTTGTTCTGGTAACTTGATTGATTTTAATGTGTGTCAGTGTCAAAACTATGGTTACCAGGGTGGTCAGGATGGTTGCTAGGATGTTGCTAAGGAGTTTCTTTTGTTTTGAGGGGAAACTGGCTTCATTTTGACTATGATAATTCCTGAAAGCAAGACTAGATGTAGTGCTGGTCTGGGAAATGCTTCTCCATTTAGCAGTTGTCAGATATTTAGACTAGACACAGACACACCCACTGTAAATAAAGTGTACAGTAGCGTGTGATTGGGGCTGGTGATGGTGCTGTAGTCTCTCAGTTACCCGTGATCAGGCAGATGAGGGCAGTTTGGCAGATCAACTGTAATGCAGTGAGAATCAGGAGGTCTGGAGGAACGCTGACTCAGCAAACGCCTCCACACACACACACACACACACACACACACACACACACACACACACACACACACTTTTTAGGAGAACCACATCATTGTCCTGCAGAGCTCTAAAAATAAGGCATCGCAGCTGATTTAAGAGTCCGCTGAGCTGAATACTGTGTGTGTGTCAATACATCACACACACACACACACACACTCTCACAAACAGACTCTATCCCTCTCATATACACATACAAAACACACACACACATGCAGGCATGCACACACTCTCACACGTCAGTACGCACACACACATACACACTCTTACTTTTTCCTCTCTCTTTCTTTCCCTCACACACTCACACACACTTTCACTCAACCTCTCTCACACACTCTCTCCCACTGTCACACACACACACACACACACACACACACACACACACACACACACACACACACACACACACACACACACACAGATTTTCCTGCTGACAGTAATAGAGTATTCTGGTCTGGAGGGCTCGAGTGTCTCCATGGAAACAATCAGAACTTTATGGCAATCAATGAGGCTGCTGTTAAACTCTGGATATCATATCATTAACAGCTCGACACACACACACACACACACACACACACACATCCTCATGTTGCTATCACTCAACTCCAGAAAACAGTCATCGCTGAACTTCCACAGGGTAAATGAAGGAGAAACACTGCTCTAACAGCTCCAGCCTCTATAAAGCAGCTCCAGATGAAGCGTTCATCTGCGCTAGCAGTGTGTGTGTGTGTGTGTGTGTGTGTTCAGTGTGTCAAAATAATAATCAAGACAAATAACTGTCATCAGCTCACAGCTGGAGTGTGTGTGTGTGTGTGTGTGTGTGTGTGTGTGTATGTATATACATGTGTCTAAATGTGTGTGTGTGTGTGTGTGTGTGTGTGTGTGTGTGTGTGTGTGTGTTTGTGTTTATGAGTGTGTGTGTCTGTATGAGTGGTGTGTCTGTGTGTGCGCATATGTACATGTGTGTGTTTGTGTGAGTGTGTATGTCTGTATGTATGTGTGTGTTTGTGAATGTATGCGAGTGTGAGTGTGTGTGTGTGTCCAGACGGCTCACCTGAAATGACGCTGTTTACATCGATGTCG